CTTTACAACTAATAATACAAAGAAATGAAGAGGCTCTGTCCTATTAGAAAGCTCCAAAAAGTATTTTCAAGATGCAGTTGTTAGCCTAATCGATTGAATGAGTTCCATCAAAATCTAAAATGCAATTATAACGAGTGTGAGTGTGAGTAGTTCAACCATCAACAATGATGATATAAATTAGAGATTTTAAGAATTTTCCAAACCCGTTTGATCTATAATTAATAGACGATTACATAGGCATTTTAAAATTTGCAGCGACAGTGAGATTAAATGTGAAAAACAATGAACCTTGCGAGTATGGTCGTGATATAGTATAAAAAGCCAATCTAAATGTTTACGAAAAATCCACAATGATCATGAATCCAAGAAGTCTCGGCCTGGCATAGGTAAATGCTTTGCTAGTTAACGAAAAATAGGTAGAATTCGAACAGTTCAGGTAAAGCTATTTGCTAAGGGAAATTTATGTATTACCATAAAAGGCAAGATGATATGGCCAAAACACAATTAAAAAGAACCAAAGCATTACAAAGCAATAACTTAATCGTCTGAGTAAGTTTTTATTAGATAATACAGAAAATCCAACTAACCTTCAAAGTTTTTGTTTTAGACTTTATCTCAGTTATTGAGCCATGCGAATGCGTTCGGTGCTTAAGTGAGGCATTCTCTGCCTCCGTCTCTGACACTTCGGACTCAGGTCTACCAGTCAGATCTGCCAGTCGGATAGCTAGATGATGACTCGAAGACAATAATCGGTGACTAAAATTGTCCTGTCTTTCCGTGTGAGAGAGGCTAAGCAGTCGGTCTATCTCACTTACTATCCAGGCTAGAGAGGTGGATAATTGAGCAGAGCGTGCAGCAAGGTGTACATTGTCGCGTTGTAGGTGGAAAAGAAAGGTCTGCAACCGGGCAAAGGCAAGAGGAATCCAATGTTTGGTAGAGTCATCGTTTCTGGTGGTAGAAGCCTCATTGGAAAGTGGTGAGACTGAGGCAGATAGTAACGGAGATGATGGAGAAGGGGAATGGACTGGCGAAGGAGAGCGTGAGAGAGAAGGAGCA